ACACAGATGGACAGATGAACAAACAATGTTTAGCTGCTGCGTGGTGTGGCTCATTGACTCTGGTTAACTATTCTCCAGATCTATGACCTAGCCAAGAGCAGAACAAGGAGTGACCAGGTCAGGGCTAAATGTGTCTATTTTAACCTGTTATTCTCCCACTGGTAAACAACTTTAGGTCTGGTGGTTTTTCTCTCGTGTCTCACTTCTTCTCTGTTTTCCTGGGAGGTTTAGGCCAAGAAAAGACAAACAAACAACCCCTATCTGAATTCTGCCCAGTCAATGACATTGACATCAAGGTTTTGCAAGCACCGGGATAGGAAAGAAGCAACATTCTGTTGAACAAGACAAAGTCCGCAGCAGCTGAGTCTGTGATCGAATGACCAAAGATCTAGGAGGCAAGTTTAAGAACTGAGCTCTGAGCTGTGGCTTTCCTTAGAAAAGAAAACTACATCAGGTACACTGATGTTATCTGTAGTATATCTGCATGTGGGCCAACAAGATGTAGACACACTCGGGCACCTAGACAACTGATGAACTGATGATACGACTCTGGGTTAGGTTTCAAAAAATATACCTGCTACAGCTCTGTTGGAAAGTGGTCGGAGTGCAGTGAGGACACGTGGTGGGAATTTTTTCTCATTAAAAGAATGCTATTTCAACAAAAACAACGTACTTCTGAACTGAAACAAAACTGTCTTCAAATTCATGCTGCTGTCAAATTAGACCGTATATATAAATATAACCAAGGGTTACATATATTATTACATATTATTAAAGATTAAAGTAAAACAAACAAACAAAGTGTCACTTGGACCCTGTACCACCAGGACCATGTTTCCTGGTCGTAGTTTTGGCTTAGGGCCATTTTGCTGCTGTTCTTCTAAGACACTCAGCTACCAGGTATTGTTTGTTTACAACAAAGAATATTTGTCGGCTGATTCATTTCACCAATTCATTTATCTGTTTGTTGTAACCTGTTGGTGTACAGGCTCTAAAAATAGACCCACAAGAACAAGAAGTTCTAATCTGTGCCTGTCTTTCCGACCGTGCAAACCAACTAAACCACATTTGAGGCCAACATAAACACACCGGGTTGCATGAAACTCTAAAGGGACATTTATTCCAAAGTAAATTCAAATTTAGGAAGAAATCCTGAACGATTCAATGTAAACTTTGATGCTCTCACTTTAACTTCTTAACTGCTTGTAGGCGAACAAAAACTAGTGCTGAGAACTTTTTATCTGAGTGAGTCTTTGTGTAAGACTGTGTGCCTTTGTGTGTGTGTGCGCGTGTGTGTGTGTGTGTGTGTGTGCGTGCATAGGTGCCCAGGGGCCCTTGTTATTATGTCCTGCTGCTTTTCAATAGAACAGCTGTGCTGAGTCTCCAACCTCAGCCTCCAAAGAAGGAACAGGCTGCCTGGTAACTGCACTCTGATTGGCAAACTTCTCTCGGCTGTTCTGACCAATCACAGAGGATGTCTCGCAATGAGGAAGTGAATGGAGGGGGTAGAAAAACACAACACAGAGAAGGAGGAGTGTGAGAAAGTTTACCACAAAGGAGAAAAAAAAAAAAAAAAAACGAACTGAGAGAGGAGTGAGGAAGCAGAATGTGGGTGTTGCAAGCGGAGTAGTAATTTAAGGCAGCGCGTTTAAAGGTTTTAACCTCTCATATGTTTCGTTAATCCCGTCCTCTGTCTTTTACAGCGTTCTGCTCTGTTAAGTTTGACCTTTTGTTTGGTACAGTCATAACCACGCAGGGAACAAAAAAATATGCGAGACAACTTTCTGCAGTCCGTCAACACAAACGACACCGCTGCGAAATTTAAATGTTTATAAACAAAAATGAGAAAAATCAAACTTAGGACAAAAAACATCTCGGACAAACACCCACGTGTACTTTACTTTTGGTCGTGCCCCACATGAGGGACCCATATGTACACGTTTCCCAGCATTCTTTGATTTATTTTGATTGACAGTAACAGAAGTACATTAATGTTTCCATCTTCTTTTTCTCCACATGTTGAGAGGCAGTTGACAAACATGTGTTTCCAGGGCTTTAAGTGAACTCAGGGGGGGGGGGGGGGGGGGCAGTTTTTTTACTCTCTTGCGGAGTAAAAAAGAAATGGGTGTTTGTTTTACAGTAGCTGTGACGCAGGCGGTTGGAGAAGAAAAGTGGTTGGGTGATAAACAAGTGTGTGTCTGTGTGTGTAGGACCATGTGTGTGTGTGTGTGTGTGCTTGTTTTTCTACCATCATCAGGACCTCTTTTGTCCTTTGGGACATTAACATAAACATTTAAGGGGAGTTATGGTTACAGCCCCTGTGGGATGTTTCATTGGACTACCATCCTGGTCCTGGTGTGCAAGCATAGGAATGGAGTCTGTTGATCCCCCTTAGAATATCTGTCTTATGCAACCTGTATAGTTTGGTCCTCAGTCTTCTGTTTATATGACATACATATTGTCTTTTTTTAATAGTTCCATAAAGACCATGTCTGACAGGTCGCCCTTGGTCAGTTTCGCATTTTTCAGAAGAAAACATTTGATATCAAACAGAGTTCATCCCATTATCTGACTGGTTGGTTTGTTTATTTTCCCTCTATGGCAGGGGTTTATAACCTTTTTGGCTTGTGACCTCATTTTGACAAAACAAATTTCTTGCAACCCCAGAGACATTTTACTAGTTGTCACATCAAGATGTGAATCAAAATGCACCAGCTCAGCTGCAGTTGCATACTAAGCTGCACTTAATTTATATTAATTTTTCTTTTTTTTAATCAGTGTTTTTGTTATTTTATCAGTATTTTTATTATTAATTTCAAGACATTTCAGGATGTTGTTTTGGGAAGGAAATTAAAGTCTGCACTGGATGTGTGGATAATTTGTTCTGGTTTCAGGTCAAATCTGATAAAATCAGGATTAGGCTTTAACTGCTCTTGGTTTAGGGCAGGGATAAAATCCTGGCCAGGCCTGAGGAATATCTGTCTAAACCTGTGCTTGTGTACGTGTATGTGTGTGTGATTAAGGACAAGAGGGTGGGTGGGTGCCGAGCTTGGACACATCCTGTAATTACCAATCAAATCAGCAGTCACATTGCTCAAAGAACACACACACACACACACACACACACACACACACACACACACACACACAGACTTGTTCTCTCCTCGGAGGTCACACTTCCTACAAAATCATGAAACCAGTTCTCCATAGAAACAAGACCTGTGAAAAGACACAGGCATGATGGGAAATGAACAAATTGGCCCGTGTGATGTAGTGAGGACCACAGTATACATTCTGTCAAAAAATATAAACACTCAAACACTCCTGGATTTACTGAGAGACACATAAATGTGCTAAAAAAACAAAAACACGGCCATATACCATGCAAGTGTCAGCAAGGCTTAGTCACAGTCTATAAGAGTCGACCACAGAGAAAAACATTCAATAAGAGTGTCATGAGTCAGTGCACATATTGACCACCAGGAGCCACAAGCTGCACAAGTACAGAGGAGTCTAACTTCAAAAACAATCTGAAGGAACAGAAACATGCAGTACATAGAAGATTTATTTGCAACAAAGGAACAGAAACATGCAGTACATAGAAAATTTATTTGCAACAGTCATATGGTGGTGGAGCTGACTACCAGTAGAAAAAACTTCCAGTAGATGGCAGTAATGTAAAAAAAAAAAAAAAATTCTGGTGGAGCTGACTACCAGTGGAAAAACACTTCCAGTAGATGGCAGTAATGCAGATTAAGGATTTGATCAGTTTTGATGACTGCATGAGAGGTTTTCTCATCTGCCAGGTCTGGAATTGAACCCACGAGCCTTGTGGTGTATGAATCATTACACCTAAATCCATCCATCGTCTCTATTCAGGTCGCTATGTCCAGAGTTTCTATATATAGAGATACAAACAACTGTTCACACCCGCATTCATACCATCAACCTAATCTAGTCTGTAGTAGCTGTAGAAGGCCCCCGGGAGAACATACAAACAATCCAAACTTCAAAATAATTATTGCTATTCTTCTGTTTTCTCCTCAGTAGTAGAAGTAGAGAGATTGTACGTAGAACAAATCCATCCGCTTCTGGACTAGCTTACATTCCTAATGTGAGTTAGCTAGCTTATATATTGTTGCTCACCTGTTTCTCTTTTTTTTTTAAGTTAAACCAGTTTTACGCTTCACTTGAAGCACCTTGGTACTTCCCCTCCCCCTCCTCGGGGCAGATACACCTTAAAGTGTTTAAAACCCTGCTGTAATGCATTCTATCAGAGGAAATACAACAGCAAAGAAGTTGTTTGTGACCCTGTTAAACAATGCCTCACTTCAACAGTCGTCTTTGTATCTTGATGTACCATCGTGTTTTGATAGTTCTCTGTAGCCTGGTGTTGTGACACCCTGAATAACTGTAAAGTCAGCACAGCTGCCGTGGTGGGAGATGTCTGGGAACAGCAGTGGAGAGAAACCATAGAAGACATTCACGCTGGCGTCCTGCAGGGACTTTTCTTTGCCCCCTGTGTTATTGTTGAGTTCCTTTAACAGTGCTCCAGCACCAAGCCATAACGGCACCACTGTTTATTGTGCCGTGGCTTCGTAGATTCAGCTCAAAAACATGTGCATGACAACATGTTTATTGACATCAGGTCTGGAGTTTTACGTGTAGCTCCAGGTCAATTTAAATGAACATAGTTGTTGATGATAGACGTATTTGAAGCTTCTTGGTTTTCATTATGGCTCAGCTGTTCATACGTATCTGCAGCGTATCCTTATAAGGATTGCTTGCACACGTATGACATGTATGAACATAGATGCAGAATGTAGGTCAGTGGTTTCTGCTCTTTTTGGTCGATGGTCTGCACATCTGTTTCCTTCTCAGCTGAGGGAGTTCAGCTGGAAGGTTGAGTTCTTTAGGGAGCCATCAAGTTCATTTGATGCTAGCTTACACGTTTTTCATCGAGGTTTTCTCACATCAAATTTGTTTTGTTTTGTTTTTATAAATCATCATAAATCATCTTGTTTTAAATATTCATCTAAATCTAATTTATTCTTCTGATTGAAGGGGGAGTTGAACTTACCCCATGCTCAGTTTATTAAGGCGCTCATGCTTCTTCTTTATGTGTATAAAAACATCACTAATCTGACCTAGCTCTGCCTCCCAAACAATCCCAGCCCTAATCCACATAGTCTAGTTCTGGATTATCATGTCGGCTCCACCATCTCCAATTCTGCAATACAGACTATGGATCATATGTATATAAAAAAAAAGAAAAAACACATACAAAGCTCATCAGTCTTCTTGTTTATTTTAGTGATCACACCTGTCATTACCTTAGAGCGGTTGTTGTTGGGCAGATTTGACAAGCTGACAACGTACATAGAAACTGCAGAAACACAAAAAACTAAATGACAGTCTGTTTGCTAAATGGGAACATGTGGTCACAGTGGTAACACTACCTTCATTCGGATTAGATTGTTCCAATGTGCATCAAGGTTGCAGCATAGTTGGTAATGGTTCAGAACAGAGATGAAAGTCGCATTAGTAAATCCTTTAATGACTGTTCCTTAAACACCGTAGGCTCTGGCAGAAGATTCATGAGCCATGTGATGTTTGATGATTATTATTTTTCTTCTCTTATCCATTATTAGTCTCATGCCAAACCACTGATGTGGTTTCTCCTCATGAGCATCTCTTATTTTCCACCAACCTCATTTCCTCCATTTTTTAAAGCTGATGGCAAACCTCTCAGAGGCGCTCACGCAGAGACGTTGAAATAAAGTGCTAAAACAAATTTTTTATTATTGAGAAATAAACGGTCAATGTGTGTGACATGACAGGAAAGATTTTCCGATGGTTTTTGAGGCCTTTTTGAAGCCCGGAATTTATTGTTTTGGCAACCGATAATTCTCTGAACCATGCAGGTTCTGATCCAGGGCTGACTGGAATCTTCTATGTGTGGGTCCACTCACACAGCTATGACTCAGTGTTACCCAGAATTCCTGTCTTGTTAACTTAGAGGAAACACAGAGTCGAAATCATGCTGTGTCATAGCAGACCTGGAGTTATTATAGAACCAATATGAACAAATTAATTGTGTTTATCACGAGCAACAAAATACAAAATACTGTTTCAATACATTTCAATACATTTTTTATATTTATATATAGCTATATACATATATACACATACATAGCCGAGCAACAAAATACAAAATACTGTTTCTGCATTTAAAAAGAAATAATTTTCCAGGTGTCAACATGTTTTATATATACAAATATACACATACACAGTATAAATACATACTAATATGTATATACAACATACATTTTTATATTTATATATACCTATATACATATACATACATACATAGCATACATATACATATATAAATATATATACAAAGCAAAACAACAGACATAATACTTAAATTATTACTACTTAATGCTATACAGTATATACATATGTATAAGGACACATACATAGGTAAATATATACATTTTATACATATTGTATACATTACTCACTCACACTCTTTTTATATATATATATATATATAAACTGTGTGTATATATATATATATAAACTGTGTGTATATATATATATATAAACTGTGTGTATATATATATATATAAACTGTGTGTATATATATATATATAAACTGTGTGTATATATATATATATAAACTGTGTGTATATATATATATATATATATATATAAACTGTGTGTATATATATATATATAAACTGTGTGTATATATATATATATAAACTGTGTGTATATATATATATATATATAAACTGTGTGTATATATATATATATAAACTGTGTGTATATATATATATATATATATAAACTGTGTGTATATATATATATATAAACTGTGTGTATATATATATATATATATAAACTGTGTGTATATATATATATATAAACTGTGTGTATATATATATATATAAACTGTGTGTATATATATATATATAAACTGTGTGTATATATATATGTAGGCCAAATAGCAGCCAATGAAGAAGCGCCAACTACAGTGCTTC